GTTCGTAGCCATCTTGTGAAATTATATATTGAAATTTATGTTTTTTGAAGGAATGAAAGTCACTAACGGGTCAATGTTTACAATACTTTGTCTACTCGTATTCTTGACAATCGCTTTTCTCGGTTCTCGAATTTACGTCACTAGTTACCAGTCTCCTAAAACACGGCCAACACGACTGGGCGTCGCCAGAAATCTAACTTTGAAGGCTGATTTCGAGGTGAAAAAAATTCGAAATCGAAAAATTTTTTTTGGAATATTTATTTATATCATCTAGAGATGCCAAAACCGTAAAAAAATTCTAGACCTGATATACACTTTAAACAAAAATTATAGCACCCTGTGTGCTCCCCACATCCCAATTACTGGGATGCTGTTTGGTGATGAACTGCAATCTCAACTGAGCAGCATCAAGGCCTCAAACCAAATAAGTAACCTGGCGGCTGGAGGCGGCTCAAACCGCCACCAAGATAAATCTGGCAATAACAATAGAGGCAAGAGGCCTTTTTTAGGCCAGAGGGGGAGAAGGAATCCCCACTTCAACAGCCAGAAGAAGAAGTGGGACAAAAAGACACCCTCTCAATGATTAACCTGACAACACAGGTAAATGAAAATAATTTTATGTCGCTTATACCTGCTCTAAAAGATTATTTCACTGCAAAAGCAGACTGTTTTAAGGCTGGCAGGCTGGTATCCTACCTAGAAAATTGGAAGGAAATAACTTCAGACTCTGAAATATTGTCAATGGTCARAGGCCAGCATATTGAATTTAATTCAATGCCCACCCAGGGAAAAACCCCGGGACAGTCTGTGAAAAATTCAGAGGTCAAAATCATAGACCTTGAAATATGTAAACTCATAAAAAAGGGTGTTATATTACCCACGGGGCATGAGAAGGGACAATATCTGTCACCTATATTCACCAGGCCGAAAAAAGATGGCTCTCACAGGTTAATCCTAAACCTGAAGCGGCTCAACATGCATGTTGAGTACAAGCATTTTAAAATGGACACCCTCAAATCAGCCATAAGTATGATGAGACCGAATTGTTATATGGCTTCGGTGGACTTAAAAGATGCATACTACTCAGTTAGTATAGCAGAAAGTGACCAAAAATACCTAAAGTTCATATGGTCAGGGAATCTTTATAAGTTTACATGYTTCCCAAATGGTCTTGCATTTTGTCCAAGAAAGTTTACAAAATTACTGAAGCCGGTTTATGCCACCTTAAGACAGTCTGGTCATTTGTCATCATCTTACATAGATGATTCGTACCTCCAAGGTGAGGACTTTGAGGACTGTATTCGAAATGTTCTTGCCACAATAAAATTGTTTGACTCATTAGGGTTTATAATTCACCCAGAAAAGTCAACACTTGTACCCTCACAGAGAATCACTTACCTGGGTTTCGTCCTTGATTCTTTAGAAATGAAAGTTTACCTCACTCAGGAAAAATCAAACAAACTCAAGGATGCATGCAAAAATATACTAGCTAGCAGCAATCCTTCTATAAGAGAAGTGTCCTCACTCCTAGGACGTATGACTGCTAGTTTCCCAGGAGT